CTTCTATTTATGGCAAGCAATATTGGACGTAACGAAAATATATATGTAAAATCCATATATGGAACTGTTCTATCTAACTAGGTATACAAATCATCGAATTACCTACATTTTTCTGTCATTCATTAATCCGCATTTGGAAGATGTACATGTACTCTAATATATTTTTATCATTTATCTTACTGTTTGTCGATACCATGTCAATTGTAGATATATAGTGTCACTCTCTGCTCTCTCTATCTTTTCTTCCTCTCTACACCATGTTGACCAAAAAAGGTGGCATTAATGAATTTTAGATATGGCTTCGTGGAGCCTAGTAAGATCTAGCTCCATGTAAATTGCCATTTCATGTTCAGCTGAAACAAGGAGAAATAAAAGGTTATCCTCCTAGAGATACTTTACTACATATGCTTTGAAGAACGATATGCCAAGTTAAAAAATGCCAAGTTAAAGCAAAATATGCCATATTGAAACCTAGTGTTTATCTTTTTTTGAGGGAGGTCTAGCATTTATCATGGAATAGTCGCAAGTATTGTTCATACATTATCAACATCAGGATATGCTAGATAACACTTCTTTCCTATCAACATCTCTATAATTATGACACCAAGACTATATATGTCTGACTTGTATGTGATCGTGTATATGTCTCCACCATGAAACTCTGGTGCTATATATCCCCTGCATAAAAATTTAGTCATATAAACGTATGAGAAAAAGAAAAAGGAAACAATTTCTAAATAAAACAAAAAGGATAACTCAAGAGGTTTTGCCAACCTACAATGTGCCAGCCATATTTGTGGTAATAACTCGGCTTTGCTTTTCATCGAAGCACCTTGATAGCCCAAAGTCAGTAATTTTTGGCATCATATTGCCATCCAGCATAATATTTGGGGGCTTGAGATCCAAGTGAACAATAAGATTCTGGTGAAGGTAATGTAAACCTTCACAGATACCATTTACTATCACATAGGTCTTTATCTAGTCATGTCCATAAGATGCATCTATAAAGGAGAGAGAATTGAGAAAGTAAGGTGTTAATATTTGACATATTTTTTTTGGAAAAGGAGGATGACCCCCGGCCCGAGCCGAATATCAAACAGACCTCGCACCAAATCCTAACATGTAAAGCCGAAGGCCCCAACCAAGACTCATACTGGGTCTGGGGCACACACCGGTCCGACACATTCTCAGAGATCGCCGCCGCCGTCTTCCACCGATCCATCTTCATATTTGACATATATGAAGATTGAAATACTTTTTTTTCTCGAATACGCACGAGTGTGCATATCATTCATTAAAGAAGAAAAGGGAAGCCTCCTAAATCCACGGTTACAACAATAATTACATATCGGGGTCATCCGACACCACCGGACGAACTAGCTACTACTACACCTCAGGTGTCTGGCCTACCGTCATCCGCCTCAAAAGCAAAGGTGTTGCCTTTCATGAGGCCAGTCTTCGCCCATAGAATTCCCTCCTCTCTAATTCTAAGCAAAATTGCAGGTAGAGACGGTGTGGCACCGTTGAACACGATGTCATTCCGGTGCTTCCACAACATCCACATCCCAAGGAGGGATTTTACCCGAGTCAATTTGCGGTGCACTGGGCTTTGATCCTGTCTAGAACACCATTCGTCGAGGCCTTCACCATCTGGGGGTTCAAATTCTAGCCTGCCCATGATTCTCCCCCATCGAATGACAGACCTGCTTTGCAAAGACACAGTTCACAAGCAGATGTTGGATAGTTTCCTCATGTTGGTTGCATAGGGGGCATGTGTCTTGTTGTGGTAGTCCGCGGCGGGCCAAACGATCGGACGTCCAGCATCCGTTCTTGAGGGCTAGCCATGCGAAGAAACGGCACTGCAAGGGTGCCCTCGACTTCCAGGTGAATGCCGATGTCGAGGAGACCACAAGCCCCATGAATCTGGCCGCATAAGCTGATCTAGCCGAGTACTGGCCGTTCTTTTCCCACGACCATGTCACCACGTCCTCGACGTCATCTGTTAGTTGAGTGACCAGCGGCCACAGCCGCAAAAACTCCTGAAGCGCTTGGAGTGATAAGTTGGGGCCGATGTCGCCTGCCCAGCTGTCATTTAGCAGCGCATCAGAAACCAACTTTGATCTCTTGGTCCGATCCGGTATCAATTCGTGCACCATCGGTGCAATCTCCTGAATCCTCAAACCATTGATCCATCTATTTTCCCAGAAGAGGGTACGTAGATCTGCCATTGCCCACCATATTGTAAGCCGCTGCTCATACCAATTCCAAAGCCTCCGCCGCAGGATGTAGAACTCGGACCATGGCCTGCTTCTGTCCGCCCTTTGCAACCAAGCTCCACCTTGCTCACAAAGCCTTATTGAGCCACTCTAGGTTTGGGATCCCCAATCCACCTGCCCATTTGGGCATGCATACCGCGTCCCAAGCCACGGTGCAGTTGCCTCCTACTCAGATTTGTAATGTTAGATAGATAAAATGGAAACAAAAGTTGCAGGCCACATGATCTTACCTTTGATGTTCCCATCAAGACTTCCTTTATGTACATACTCAAAGCAGAGCAACCTTTGACGTACATCTGCCATGACAAAATCTCCATCGTAGCCTACCGTTTCGCCTTACATGTTTGCACAATATCCCAAAAAACATACTATAATTTTGTGCTTCACCTTCATCAAACAGCGAATCTCTCCGTTGAATTTATTTTGGGGAATATCAAGCCTTTCAAACAGCTTCTTCATAGCAACGATCCCATTCTCAAGCTCTCCCTACAAGTCACAAGATGCCTTTCAGCATGAACTTCAGTTTTTGGATCAACTGAGGGCAGTTGAGAGTTGCCTTACCTTATAAACCACCGCAAACCCACCGCTGCCAATTTGACGGTTCTCAAAGAAACCATCTGTGATATCTTCCAAAAGTGATAATTGCAAGGCCTTTGGCTGTTCGTTTTCATGAGATAGCATGTGCTCAAGGTCATTCCGTGCAGCACTGGCTTGGCGACTCATTAGCAGTTCCGTGGGGCGAGAGTACCCTGAAACAAGAGCAAGCACATTATTTGGGAGGCCCACAAGATCTAGCGCTCCAGTTGCTCGAGTAATCACAAAAGATTTAGCTATGGTATAGAGAACAATCTTTTGATTTTATGAGTAGAAAAAAAAATTCAATAACTTTTTTTAGTTCAATTTTTTTTTGCAAAATAAACATTGCAAAAAAAATCAATAACTACAGTCTTATTCCTTGAATGGATAAACATTGCAAAATAACAAAACCCAGTTAACAGGAAAAAATGTTGTGAAACAGAGCAAGCACAAGCATAGCTCCTTCAGAAAACTCAACACGCACTTGACGGCATAGGGCATAGGTAATTAGAAGAATAAGGGCAACTCTAACGGATCCCCAAAAAATAGAGTAAAACAGCGGAGTCCAAGGCGAGGCGGGAGGTGGTGGTGGACCTGTGCTGCTCCGCCGTCAGCGCCGTCGCCCTGCTCAGCTTCCTCGCCTCCGTCGTGCTACGCTAGTAGAGTCAAGGACCTGCCGGATATCTGTGTACCTCGTGAAACATGTACGTACAACAGTTTTCCCACTAGAACAGAGGAGCCAAAAAAGTACAGAGATTTGACTACTGACAGTGAAGCGAACAATCCTTTTTCTTTTTGTACCGTTGGGCCTGAAAATTCAGGCAGTTGAAGGTCGCACAGTGCTCACAATTAAAACCATGGTGGTCGTCTAAAAAATTCTGTCAAAATAGTCACCGGGGAAAGGTATCCTTCTCAAAGTAAGTACAGTTATGCCAGGTCTCAAAGCATAGTGAAAATACCACTAGGCCGATACTAGCTCAAATTGTGAAACTGAGTGGCACTGTGCCCAGCAAAGACATGGCTTCAGGCTTCAGTAGCCAGAGCGCTTCACACATTTGTGTAATGCAATATGATCCGGCTGCTAAAGTGCACGCCTCGATTGATCTCATTGATTGGTACATATACAGGGTTACAAAACTTGTATCGCAAGTTCATCACGTCGGTTTTAACCGTATATGGTAACCAACTATACATGATCAATTACAACACGTGGTCGATCCGGTTGGGGATACGTAGAATCATCTAACACGCCCCCGCAGTCTGAACGTGGAGACATGCCGTCGCCGATGTGAAGACTGGACCGAAACTCGAGGAACAATGGGTTCGGTGATCCTTTAGTAAATATGTCCGCAAACTGTGATGAAGATGGAACATGTAGTACGCGCAGGGCTCCAATAGCAACTTTCTCGCAAACAAAATTTATATCCAGCTCAATGTGTTTAGTACGACGATGTTGCACTGGGTTTGCAGACATGTATACTGCAGATATGTTGTCACAGTAGACGACGGTGGCACTGTCAAGCGGGCAATTTAGCTCAAGTAACAAATGACGCAACCAACAAGTCTCGGCTACGGCTGTAGCAACTGCTCGATATTCAGCTTCGGCACTGCTGCGAGAAACTATCGGCTGTCGGCGAGAAGACCATGAGACTAGATTGTCTCCCAAAAATACACAGAAACCGGATGTAGAGCGGCGAGTATCCGGGCATCCACCCCAATCAGTATTCGAATAGGCAACAAGAGTGTGTGAAGAGGAGGAATGAAGAATGAGACCAAGATCAAGTGTTCCTTTAAGATAACAAAGAATACGTTTGATTAGAAGAAGATGTGGTTCTCGAGGATCATGCATGTGAAGACATACTTGATGGACGGCATATGAAATTTCTGGTCGGGTAAGAGTGATATACTGGAGTGCCCCAGCAAGACTACGGTACTGAGAAGGATCAGAGACCGGTGCACCGGCAGAAGCAGAAAGTTTGGATTTGGTGTCTATAGGTGTTGGAGAAGGATTACAGTCAATCATGCCGGCACGACGGAGAATATCGATGATGTACTGACGTTGAGATAAATGAATAGTGGATGGAGTGCGGGTGACGGAGATGCCAAAAAAATGATGAAGAGGACCAAGATCTTTCATGGAGAATTCACGGCTAAGTTGAACAATTATTTGATGAAGAGTGGTTTGAGAAGAAGCAGTAAGAATAATATCATCTACATAAAGGAGAAGATAGGCAGTGGTTGTGCCATGATGTAAGACAAAAAGAGATGCATCGGACTTAGATTCAATAAATCCAATGAAACGAGCATAGGTGGCAAAACGTTGGAACCATGTGTTGGAAATATGCCCTAGAGGCAATAATAAAAGCATTATTATTATATTTCTTTGTTCATGATAATTGTCTTTATTCATGCTATAACTGTATTATCCGGAAATCGTAATACACGTGTGAATACATAGACCATAATATGTCCCTAGTAAGCCTCTAGTTGACTAGCTCGTTGATCAACAGATAGTCATGATTTCCTAGCTATGGACATTGGATGTCATTGATAACGGGATCACATCATTAGGAGAATGATGTGATGGACAAGACCCAATCCTAAGCATAGTACAAAGATCGTGTAGTTCGTTTGCTAGAGCTTTGCCAATGTCAAGTATCTCTTCCTTTGACCATGAGAGCGTGTAACTCTTGGATACCGTAGAAGTGCTTTGGGTGTATCAAACGTCACAACGTAACTGGGTGACTATAAAGGTGCATTACAGGTATCTCCGAAAGTATCTATTATTTTATGCGGATCGAGACTGGGATTTGTCACTCCGGATAACGGAGAGGTATCACTGGGCCCACTCGGTAATGCATCATCATTATGAGCTCAGAGTGACCAAGTGTCTGGTCACGGGATCATGCATTGCGGTACGAGTAAAGTGACTTGCCGGTAACGAGATTGAACAAGGTATTGGGATACCGACGATCGAGTCTCGGGCAAGTAACATACCGATTGACAAAGGGAATTGCATACAGGGTTGATTAAATCCTCGACATCGTGGTTCATCCGATGAGATCATCGTGGAGCATGTGGGAGCCAACATGGGTATCCAGATCCCGCTGTTGGTTATTGACCGGAGAGCGATCTCGGTCATGTCTACATGTCTCCCGAACCCGTAGGGTCTACACACTTAAGGTTCAGTGACGCTAGGGTTGTAGGGATATGTATATGCAATAACCCGAATGTTGTACGGAGTCCCGGATGAGATCCTGGACGTCACGAGGAGTTCCGGAATGGTCCGGAGGTAAAGATTTATATATGGGAAGTCCTGTTTCGGGCGTCGGGACAAGTTTCGGGGTTATCGGTATTGTACCGGGACCACCGGAAGGGTCCCGGGGGTCCACCGGGTGGGTCCACCTGTCCCGGGGGGCCACATGGGCTGTAGGGGGTGCGCCTTGGCCTACATGGGCCAAGGGCACCAGCCCCAAGAGGCCCATGCGCCAAGAGAAGAAAAAAAGGGGAGAGTCCTAAAAGGGGAAGGCACCTCCGAGGTGCCTTGGGGAGGATGGACTCCTCCCCCCCTTGGCCGCACCCTTCCTTGGAGGAAGGGGCAAGGGCTGCGCCTCCCCCTCTCCCTTGGCCCTATATATAGTGGGGAAAAGGAGGAGCAAAGACACCCCAGGCCTTTGGTTGCCTCCTTCTCCCTCTCCAACACCTCCTCCTCCTCCATAGTGCTTGGCGTAGCCCTGCCGGAGTACTGCAGCTCCATCAACACCACGCCGTCGTGCTGCTGCTGGTGCCATCTCCCTCAACCTCTCCTTCCCCCTTGCTGGATCAAGAAAGGAGGAGACGTCATCCGTTCCGTACGTGTGTTGAACGCGGAGGCACCGTCCGTTCGGTGCTAAGATCATCGGTGATTTGAATCACGTCGTGTTCGACTACATCATCCCCGTTCCTTGAACGCTTCCGCTCGCTATCTACAAGGTACGTAGATGCATCTAATCACTCTTTGCTAGATGAACTCCTAGATGGATCTTGGTGAAACCGTAGGAAAATTTTTGTTTTCTGCAACGTTCCCCAACACCATGCGTGTGGAGCCTGTTTGAGACCATAGAGAGATTTTTGGAGACGACGGACATGTGTAGGGAAGAGAGCATCGATAAATCCAGATGGTTGCTGACTATAGACTTCTTCATTGAGATTTCCATGCAAGAAAGCATTTTTTACATCTAGTTGATGAATTGGCCAAGATTTAGAAAGCGCGAGAGAAAGAACAACACGTATGGTGGAAGGTTTGACAACAGGGCTGAAGGTTTCGTCGTAGTCGATGTCGGCTTGTTGTGTAAATCCGCACACTACCCAACGAGCCTTATGACAAGCAAGAGACCCATTGGAGTTATATTTGTGGCGAAATATTCATTTCCATTAACAATGTTAGCACCCAAAGGGGGAGGAACAAGAGTCCAAGTGCCATTTGTCATGAGAGCATCATATTTGTCTTGCATGGCTTGACGCCATGAAGGATCACGAAGAGCAACAAGATAATTATGTGGAAGAGGGGAGCCAACTATGACCGAAAGATTAAGACGATCGATGGGACCGGGTAGCTTACCATCGTGCGACGAGTGCGGTGTATAGGAGGTGGTGGTGGCGGGGTAGGGATAGGAGAAGGGGTTGGTGAGTTGTTGGGAGTGTGTAATACGGAGGCGGTAGGAGAAATAAGAGAGGATGGTTCTGTTGGGAAACGTAGTAATTTAAAAAAAATCCTACGCACACGCAAGATCATGGTGATGCATAGCAACGAGAGAGGAGAGTGTTGTCTACGTACCCTCGTAGACTGAAAGCGGAAGCGTTAGCACAACGCGGTTGATGTAGTCGTACGTCTTCACGGTCCGACCGATCAAGCACCGAAACTACGGCACCTCCGAGTTCTAGCACACGTTCAGCTCGATGACGATCCCCGGACTCCGATCCAGCAGAATGTCGGGGAAGAGTTCCGTCAGCACGACGGCGTGGTGACGATCTTGATGTTCTACCGTCGCAGGGCTTCGCCTAAGCACCGCTACAATATTATCGAGGATTATGGTGGAAGGGGGCACCGCACACGGCTAAGAGATCAATGATCAATTGTTGTATCTTTGGGATGCCCCCTTGCACCC